TCCCCTGCCCGTGTTGTCCCCAGGGCTGTGCCGGGCAGTGTCACTTCGGGCCCCGCTGCCGTTTCCTGCACGACGTGGCCGCGTACCTGGCGAGCAAACCGGCCGATCTGGGCCAGCGCTGCGTCCTCTTCGACACCTTTGGCCGCTGTCCCTACGGTGTCACCTGCCGCTTCGGCCGTGCCCACCTTGGTGACAGCCACCAGAGCCTGGAGAACGCCGCCCTGGTGCAGCAGTGGGACGGGAAGGTGCTGGTGAGGAACGGCCTCTCCAAGGAGCTCCAGCAGCGGCTGCGCAAGAAAAAGTTCAGCTTTCAAAAGGCCGAGGAGTTCCTCCGTGGGCTGCGCGGGGGGAAGGGAGGCAAAGGCAGCATGGGTGGTTCTACTGAGGGGTCCAACTGTACAGAAACCCAGGAGGGACTGGGAAACAGCCCTGTGCTGCTGGAGCAGGGAGATCCTAAAGGAGGGGCTCTGCAGGGCTCCCCAGGGGATGGGGGTGATCCCAAAACTGAGACACAAGGGGATGGGGATGATCCCAAAGCTGAGACACAAGGGGATGGGGATGATCCCAAACCTGGGGCTCTGCAGAGCTCCCGAGGGACTGGGGATGATCCTAAAGCTGAGACACGAGGGGATGGGGGTGATCCCAAAGCTGAGACACAAGGGACTGGGGATGATCCCAAAGCTGAGACACGAGGGGTTGGGGATGATCCCAAAGCTGAGACACGAGGGACTGAGGATGATCCCAAAGCTGAGACACGAGGGGCTGGAGGTGATCCCAAAACTGAGACACGAAGGGCTGGGGATGATCCTGAAGCTGAGACACGAGGGACTGGAGGTGATCCCAAAACTGAGACACGAAGGGCTGGGGATGATCCTAAAGCTGAGACACAAGGGGCTGGGGATGATCCCAAAACTGAGGCCCTGCAGAGCTCCCAGGGGACTGAGGGCACTCCCTCCATCCCAACCCTGGGCCCGCTGACGGAYGAGGACATCACGAAGCTGCGGCCGTGTGAGAAGAAGAAGGTGAGAATCCCTGAGAGYCCCTGGTGAGGTCCCAGGGCAGRKSCARGGAYCTGGATGAGCTTTAAGGTCCTAAACCAAACCATTCTGTGATTCCTCACTGCAGCTTTCTCT